TACACACACACACACACACACACACACAGACACTTGTTTCAGCTATGGAGCTTTATTCTTGCAGATTAAGGCAATGGAGGGTAAGAGAGAGATTGTTCGGTGATCTCTTTAACATCAAGCAGTACAACAGTGATAAATCCCATTTGGATGGATCAATGGATGGACGGATAGATGGACAGACAGGGAGATAAGGAAAGGCTCACCCACCGTTATGGTTGCTAATAGCATAAGAAGTCAAACCAAAATTGTTACTCAGTGTTGAGGGAGATGGATTTGCAGTTAGAAACCCCCCCTTGGGTTGGGTTGAGTTGAGTTGGGTTGGGTTGAGTTGGGTTGGGTTGAGATGGGATGAGATGAGATGAGGACAAAACAAATTTGAGTTTGGCTTACCAAGACAGAATCAACCTAGAAGCTCATGGCTAATGTCTCACCAGCTCACCCTCGGAGCAGGTATGGGCTCTAAACAAGGGCTTTACTTCTTTCCACCTTCCTCCCCTCCTGTACTTGATCCCACAGTGGTGTCAAGAAATGCTCCTTTCAAGCCTAAATCCTGAAGCCAACCTTCAGGCTTGGAGGAGGGGTGGGTGGGGTAAAAGTCCCTCATCTCCTTTCTGTATATTACCTCTCTCTAGGGCATCACAGGTTTTGCTAGGTACAATATTAGATACGGACAGGTTCTGTGTTCGTGCACAATTCAGCCAGGACATCAGGAAATGCAGCTGGTGTTCTTTCCTAAGACTGCCAGTTTTCTTGTGTGAAATCTTGGCTTCGCTGAACTCAATGGCAGCTTTGCCACGGGCCGCAATAGGGGCAGGGTTTCACTCCTCCCCATGCTGTACCTTTGTAGACTTGCTTAGCTTGCTTTCAAGTTCTGAAATGGCGCTTTCCTGCCATTCTCATCAGTAGTAGCTATAACTCGATCCTGACTGGGTTGCTCGCACTTTTCGCAGATACTTCTAGGGTCTGTTTTTGTCTTGTGCTTCGTGTCAGCTGTACGTAGTTGCACTGGATTGAAATGAATTGCACGGCTCTTTGCTGGAGGCTGAATGGCATGCACTTCTGGAGGCAGGGAGCCTGAAGAAGGCACAAAAAGTGGCTGGGAGAATACTGGCTCTGAAATAGGGGAGCCTGGCTGTAGGCCACCATGGTTCAAAAGTAATTTTGCTAAGCGGGCAACTGGCTGCCTAATTAGTTAATTATCCCAGTGCACTGACATCCCCCCATTTGGAGTAAACTCAGCAGCCACCTTGCGACCTCTAGGAAATGCCTGAAATGCAAAGGATCAGCTGTTCCTTCCTGA